AAATCGATCAAAGAAGGATGCGTTGTTTCATCATTTTTAATGCTAGTGCATTACTCAAACATGCATCTTGAAGAAAAATATTATCTTTTTAAGCTCATGTATTCAGAAGCCTACTACACTTCTTCGTGTCAAAATTTTGTCTATTAACAAAGACCTGTTCCAAAATTAGAACCGGTCGGAACTGAAAAATTTGGAATCGTTTCTTTTAATAGAGAAAATGTCGACGTGAAGAACTATTGTGTTTAGGCATGTAGCGAACCCGAACGTCAGTTCGGAGTTCGGACCGAANATTATAATGATTTTCAAATTAACTGTCCATTTCACTAGAAAGAAATTAGAAAAGAATCCTGACTACGGTCGAGCTATTTATGCTAACTATATTAGAAGAAGTTTCAAACAGAGAAGTAGGCATGTAGCGAACCCGAACTTCAGTTCGGAGTTCGGACCGAACGGTTCGGGTTCGAGTTCGGGTTCGGGTTCGGCCTCAGGGTTCGGGTTCGGGTTTGGGTTCGGCCTCAGGGTTCGGGTTCGGGTTCGGGTTCGGTATCAGAGTTCGGGTTCGGTTCGGGTTCGGGTTCGGACTCAGATTGGTACTGATAAGGTATTAAATTGTTTGTAGTTCAGTACAAAGAGTAGCATGTTGTATATATTTCTCATTCAAGAAACTGTACACGTTTTCAAGGTAGTGGAAGAACGATGGATTCGAATCAAAATTTAAGAGATCTAACCATATATATAACGAAAAACAACATGTCAAAGGTAAATTTAATCGAGTTTTAATTTTTTACAGGAAAACATTGTTCACAGCACAGAAATAATTGTGTGTGACATAACATTTTATATAACACCTTATCCCCAAGCAAGTTTTTGTGAAAGAAAAAATAATTTTTGGGTGACTAATACGACGATATACTGCCTCATTATATTAGTCAATACAAGATTATATCTATCTGGTGTAATAGATTGATTAAATGATCAGAATAGCATATTTGCTATAGCAAATCAGATAAAAGAATTAATTGTTCAAAAAAGCATGATGATTCAATGAGAAACATCGTCAATACTTTAGCAGTTAAACCTGCCAATTAAACTTTTCTTATTTTTTATCTATATAGCATATGTTATTTTCAAGAGAACTTGATGGACTAAAGTTGGATGCTATATTAATACATAAACTATCTATAATAGAAAGATCTGATAGAAAAATTATATAGAAAATTAAAATGAGAATAAACGATGATCAGCAATTCTTCATATTGCAGGTGTATGCTTTTAAAATAGTTCCATTATACGTTCAAGCTTGAGTATAAGAGTGGAATACGGATAAAGTTCAGATGATTTTCAAAGATAGATAATTTTTATTTCCTAGTCTAGTAATAAACTTTTAAGTCTTGTTTATTTCATGAATTACAAAAAAAAACATTTTATAGTCATCTGATACAAGAAAACACCAACAAAAAATTATTTGAAGATATATGGAATAATAAAAAATGTGTATTTTTATACATCAAATAATTATTAAGTTTCTCTTTCATTTAGTTTTATAATTTATCTTTAAGAAAAACAGAAAAGCACAAATTATCTGCTGATAATCGTGCACGTTGTTTACGACCAATATAAGATGATATACTAAAAGCCGATTCGGCTTTAACACTTGTTCCAGGAACTGATAAATATTTTTGAGCTAATGTCATTAAATTCGGAAATAAGACTTTATTTTGTTTCCAAAATATTAATGTATCATAAACATCATTTGCTGTTAACACAAATTGAGCAGCTAATTTTTTATATAATTTGAATTCCTCATTCAATATTTTCATTGTTGTTTGTTGTTTTTTTGTTTCTTGAATATCTTCACCATTAATTGCACTAACAAAAAAACTAATTAATGATTTCTTTTTTTTCTTTTCTATTGTTGATATGGCATTAGTATTTGAAGTAATATTCGATGATAATGTTGTTGATGATTGAGTTGAATTATTTGACGATTGATGACGAAGAATAGATTTGATTTGATTTTCAACTTCAGTTATTTCATAATTTGTCATCACTGAGATTGCATATGGATCAAAATAGGCATAAAACTAGGACAAATAAGAAAAGTTAATTTTTTCATGAAAAATATGTTATTGCTGTAGTAAATAACGAGACGTGGCCCTATTCTCAAATTCTAGAATTTTAGAATAAATATATATGAAATAATTTAATATTACTATAGATGGAATTTTAGAATTTTCAGAATTCTAGAATTTCAGAACAAATATATATGAAATCATTTCATATTAGTACAGATGGAATTTTAGAATTTTTAGAATTCTAGAATTTTAGAATACATAGATATGAAATGATTCAATATGAGTATAGATGGAATTTTAGAGTTTTCAGAATTCTAGAATTTCAGAATAAATATGTATAAAATGATTTAATATGAGTATAGGTGGAATTTTTTGAATTTTCAGAATTCTAAAGGTCCATATATACTAATAATAAATCATTGCATATATATTTATTCTAAAGTTCTAGAATTCTAAAAATTCTAAAATTTCTTCTATACTAATATCGAATTATTTCATGTATATTTATTCTAAAATTCTAGAATTCTGAAAATTCTAAAATTCCATCTATACTAATATCAGGTCAATTCATATATATTGATTCTAAAATTCTAGAATTTTAGAATAGGGCCACTGTTGTAAATAACTCACCGTAATTGTTTTTGCTTGTAATGGATCTTTTTCATTGTAATGGTGCATTTTATTTAATAAACATTTTTTCATATTAATTACTAATACATCATCATTTGGATGAATAACAGATAGAAATTCTTTTTCAATTCGACGTATAAAGTAAAATGAAATGCCAATCGATGGGTAGTCACAACCACTCATTGCTTTTGTAGCTGCATAAAATGGTTTTAATATTTTAATTAATAATTTAACAATGTGCCAACAATCACTTGTAAATTCGAGAGAATTTAATTGTTGATGTTGTTTTTTTGTTAAATCAATATTTGTTTTCTTTTGAAATAATTCAATAATAATAAATCGATAGATATATAATATTTTGATCATCTTGTACGTCGAATTCCAACGTGAACATACATCCAAAATTAAAGATCGTTTTATCTTTTTCTCATTTTGTTGATTGTATTGATGTTTTATCTTTTCCACGAACGAAGATAAAACTGAAGAACCTCTGATCATACCAATAAGTTCACGACTTTCTGTTAAAAAAAAAATTGTACAAGTCGAATTCACATATAAATTTCAAAGTAGGAAAAAAAAATTCAATAAATACCTTATCCCTTCGCCCCCCCCCCCCCCCCCCGCCCCCAAAGCGGTTCCAGAAGAGCCACTGATAAAATAACTTTATAAATAGAGTATTAGCCTGTCGAATATGCCAGTGGTGTGGCTTAATCCACCGAATGTCCTGTTTCTGGAGTAGGACGGCTTGATTGATATAAAAATCATGTGGTGGAAAATGAGAATTGAACAACATCATAAGACTTAGTTTTTTTTTCTTTGACCATATTATGGACTTAACAGAAGCAGCATCTATCTCGTACTATTGAAGTGATACGAAAAACGCAACGAGTGAACCGATAAAAATTAACGATAAACAGTACATGTTTTGTTTTTACAGCTGTTGTCAAATTTAAGTCTATTTTACTCTGAGTCATTTTGTAACGTCTGAAGGAATTTAATTCATCATAAATACTATTTCGACCTCTCATGAGTTGAGGTCTATAATGCATATATTAACTTTGTTCTTGATTACCCTTCATCTGTCTAACAGTGACTAATTGATCAATTGTATTCCTTAGCATGTATAATTCGTGGAGTAATCACGAAGCTTTCGAAACATATCTAATTCATCAGTGGACTTCTTCATCGATTTATGTCACACTGAAATTCCAAAAGAAGTCTATCGACTGCAAGTGAAAAACATTTTGTTTAAAAAATTTCGAATTTTTGCATTTTTTTCAAAATTATTGATTTTGTGAGTCATATATCTCGAAGACAGAGCAATGAAACAAAATTTTTTTTTACCAATCGATAGCTTGTGAAGTTCCCTACAAATAATGTCTTAGGAGTTTTTCAGTCTCATGCTTCCTTTATTTTCTGTGATCGTTCTACAAATGGATCATATAATGTGACCCATTGGGGTAAAGGGTTAATATAAGAAAGAAAACGATTACTAACTGTAAATGACTAAGCCAATACGAGAATCCAATTGTGGTAATTCTTCATCAGAATCTTGATTCAAATTCACGTCCACTCCAACTTGAAAATTATCTTCATAGACTTCATATGCATTTTCACTATCATATTCACTATCAATTGAACTTAAATCATCATCATCATCTGAAAAATTTTCTTCACCTTCATATCGATCCAGATCATCATGTTGTTGATCATTCTGAAACAAGAGAAAGACAAATGATTAATTTATTTATACAAGAGACACTTTACTTACAACATCATCTTCTTCATCTTCAGCTTGTAATTCAATACCTTCACTATTATTTTCACTACTACCTTCATCAATAAATGATTCTTCAATATCAAATATATCGATTTTTTTTAAGGAATGACTTAATCGTTCGTCTAATTCAATTAAATTTGGTTCATCAGTTGTATTTTTTTTTTTCTTTTTTTCGATCCAAAGATCGAGTCCATTGCATACTATCAAATGCAATAGATGAGCTTGACAACGAACACGAGTTATATCGGAACGAGAAAAAAAATCGAACATTTTCACCATGTTAGGTGCTGCATCACATGTAATACTAATAACTTTATCAAGTATCTTCAATTCGATCAATTGATTTTCAATTTCAACACCAATAATTTCTGAGAAATGTCTTTTTTGAAATGTAGAAAAACGAAGAACTGTTGAATTAATATCAAATTGATCTGATGTAAAATGACCAGTTAATACCAGATATGATATACCTTTTGAGTCGGACCAAAAATCGGTACTAATGGAGATGGAAGATAATTTAGTTAATGAATCTATCATTGATACAAAATGTTTTGCATGAAGACGTTTTAATTTTTTACTTATTGTACTACGATAAGGCGTGATATAGTCTAAACAAGACAGATAAACCTATAAAATAAACGACAGGAATAAGTATTTCCTTACTCGGAACAGCCAATTGAAGAAACTTTTTGAAGCCTGCTTTAGAAAAATCACCAAAACTTCGACCGTCTTGAATAATAGCTTCTATAACAGCATCATCAAGTTTTTTCTTTAGTTGTAATGAGATTTTCTTGATTGGTGATCGATTGACAAGTTTTTCTTTTGATTCAAGTCCATTTAATTTATGTACACAACCTAAATGTCGTATTAATGTTGAAGTTGAATGAAGTGGTATTGCTAAAATTTTTTCACATCCATGAATTAAACATTTTGCTTTCAACTGTCCGTCAATTAGAATTTTTTCAAAATAAATCCAGACAGGTGATCGTTTTTGCACAACTGTTGATTGAGCTGTTGTTGTCGTGAATGAAGTTTGAGTATTGGTTGTTGTGTTTCGTACCTGAAATTTAGAGAAATTTAAATGATAAACGTATATCATATAAGATGAAAGTGTGTTTGCCTACTTTCATTTTAATTAATGAATGATTAGTATAAATCAAAAAAGTTTCATTGGTTTTTTATTTCAATAATTAATAAATAAGAAGATGATGATGTTAATGAATAAAAAATAAGAAAACAAGAATTTTGTTTGATGGTAAACCAAAAGATGTTAACGTTGATAAATAATAAACAACAAAACAAGAATTTTGTTTGATGGTAAACTAAAAGACGTTGACATTGATAAATAATAAACAGCAAAACAAGAATTTTGTTTGATGGTAAACCAAAAGATGTTGACGTTGATAAATAATAAAAAACAAAACAAGAATTTTGTTCGATGAGAAAAAAATGATGATTTTGACGAATGATAGTCTAAAATACGATATATATATATAGTAAATTAATTTAAAAAAGAATAGAAAGTTCGTTATTTCTTAACCGTGACCTGTCTAGACCCAATAAAGTACATTTGTTATCTGTGAACAATAGACAGTCTGGGCCATCTATGACCTGGCCGAATTAAGAGGAACAGTTATTATAACTAAACATTGATGTTAACATACGAAAAAATGGAAACAAACAGAGAAAAACATTGTATTAGCATTGTATTTCTTTCGCACGTGGCATGTTAGAGAGAAGAAGGAAAAATGAGAACGAATAAATCTTACAGATACACAAATACTTGCTTTTTTCTACATGATATATAAAATAAAGATAGAGAAAATTGACAATTAAAAAATACGTTATATAGATAAAATTGAAGATGGATATATTTAACGAATGAATTCTATCTTCCTTTTATTTTTCAAGATAGATGTCGTATGTTTCGTTTTGACGACAAATACTGAGTATTGCCTTTATTTTCTTAGTAAGATCAGAGATAAGCAAGTCCAAAGCTTTTCAAGTCACAAGTCAAGTCACTAAAAAATATTTCAAGTCAAGGCAAATCAAATCTCGAAATTTTTTCGATCCAGCAAAATCAAATCTAGTTGAAAAGTAAGTAGAATATAAAATTTGCTAGCAACTTTCGAGAGAGAAGCAGTTTTTATGGCGTCAGAATCCTATTTTACGGTAATAAAGTGCTTAGAATAAATGAAGATTCTTTATCAGAGGTAACTTGACTTGGACTTGAAGCATTTTTGACTTTACTTGCCCATAGTTCTGAGTACGATAGTTCTATAATAATGGTATTAACACACCTAAAGAGTTGTCAAGACTTTCGGCTCAAATTTGTGACAGATCCTATGAAAAAAAATCAAGCTGATTTAAATAAAAATTTTTTCTAAGCTTGGAGTCAGGGGTGGCGCGACCGGGGGGTGTCGGGGGCGTGACACCCCCCAATCATCAAAAATTTCTGTTTTTTTTACTCAACAAGATCACTAAATTTTCTTTCATTTGTTACCAAAGATAATGTTACACCCTCCAAAAATCTCAAAATTCGTCTTTCTAATCCAAAAAATTTCTCTATACTCCCGAAAAATCGCAAAGTTCGTCTTTCTAATCCAAAAAATTTCGCTACCCCCCCCCCCCGCCAATGTTGGTTGACTCGCGCCACCCCTGCTTGGAGTCATCGGATATAAATAAACAAAACAAACAGTACAATATGGACGATAAAATGTAACAAATTTTGTGTGCAGTGAACAATATTTGATATGACCAAACCGACGACTGATCGGTTAATATACCATCGAATCCGAACCCGAACCCGAACCGAACCCGAACTCTGAGACCGAACCCGAACCCGAACCCGAACTCTGAGACCGAACCCGAGCCCGAACCCGAACCCTAAGACCGAACCCGAACCCGAACCCGAACCTGACTCACCGAACCCGAACGTTCGGGTTCGCTACATGCCTACCATGAATCACTGAAATATTTGGACAAAAGTTTAATCAAACGTACAGCTGGAAGATCTACAAAATAATTAAACAGCATGAAACAGATTAACAAGCAAAACAATCACTCACCATCAACAAAACCTGAATTATCTGGAATACAATCAAGTAATTTTGGCAACATAGATTTTAAATTTAGTTCAATATCGACATTGCATACATAACGAACCTCATCAAAGATCTTAAAAACAAAACTTATTCTACATAAAGAAGTTGTTGTGAGAAGAGAAAAAAATCAGATATCCATCAAAAGTGAACTGAATAATCAGGATTAGCTTACCAATAAGGCATAACGATAACCAGGATATTCTTGAAGAATTTCTTTTGTTGTGTGATCTCGAATAAAGGTTCTTCTTTGAACTAATGTTTTTTTCCATGAATTTTTGACTTGATCCCAATCAAAATTTTGATCTACCAATTCGTTCTTCATAAACTGGACGTTTTTATGTAAATCTTCAGGATCATCATTGAGATCTATTTTATTCCAAAACTCAACCGAAGACTACAAGTGAAAGATAAAAAAATTCAATTTACTCTGTGATTACTTTTTTATTTATATTTGTTTCTGAGTACTTACTACTCGACGAGGTGCAATTAAATTATTAGTTCGTTTGATTGGACGACCAATACTATTGCCATACTTGACTTTCATCTGTTGAACTTCAGCAGATGTTTGCTGAAGTGGACGACGTTCTCGTTTAAACTTGTTTTTAAGACTTTCAATCCACTCATTCTATATGTTAAAATATACTTTTATGTCAATAGGATATCAAAAAAAGATTCTTCAATCTACAATGTGAACTGAGTAATGTGCCTAAACTGTGAAAATTTTCTCAAATCAAATAGCTTCAATAGAAATTAACTTTTACCTATTCATTTTGAATATAATCTAAGAACCGAAATCAATCAAACAGTTAAGGACTCCGTTTAAACGAGTTGAGCTACATGAGTAATTTCTTTATTCTGTTTTTCCTGACGTATAGAAGTGGTATTTTTCAAAGAAAGGAATAGAATGCATCTCGATTTGATCGTAACTATCCCAAATAACAATTTCAACACGAAAAAAAATAAAGTATCGAAATTTGTGAGAAGGAAAACTTTTGGTCATTGTGATCTCAAAAACTCTCGATAGGAGGCGTCTGACAATGTTGAGATTATTACGACTTTTTTGTACTCATCGAAATCTCTCTATCACAAAGGCATCATAATTTTCACCTAGCTTTTCCTTGAAAACACTGAAAATGGGGCCCGTTAAAGCTTATATAATCCAATAGAAATCAATTAAGCCTGCTCAGCATCTAATCATAATTCAACGTTCATAAAATGATGCATTTTATCATCTGCTCCTTAAAACAATAAAAGTTATCTTTGATAATTTTGAACATTAATTTTTTTACCAATGTTTCTTTGTCTTTGGGAATATTTAATGTTTTCAATATTGCTTTGCCCATTGATTTGTACTGATCTTTATTAGGATAACTACAATACAAAAGATAAATATATCGGTATTTATTGAAGACAAAATCATTATCACTTACAGCAACGAATATTCATTTGTCACATGATTAAAAATAGTATCAAGTAAAAGTCGACGTACGTTTGTATGACTACGAAATTCATTTAATTCACCTTTCTGTATTATTTGTTGAAGTTTTGGTGGTAAATCTGGTACAACATATATATTTGGAAAAACTGATTCTTCATCATCATCATTATTTTCTTTATTGTCATCTTCCTTTGATGACATGCTTGTTTCTTCATTTATATTATCTGGATTACATGAAGAATCAAATACAGTAGCGTCATCTTGATAATTTGTCACTAATACACTTGTTGATTGTGTTGTAACATGCGCAAAATTACATTCTTCAATTAATGATTGAGAGCTACTATCTAGTAAAATATCATTACATTTATCAGAAGTTGATTGATCAGAATTATTTCGAAATGTCCCATGAAATAAAGCACGTTGTTCGGTTAGAAAACGTACACGTTCTTTCAGTGGCTTGATTATTTCGTACACCATAGATTGTGGTAAATTAAGAAGTGTTTCTCCATCAATATCTTCTCCTAAAAAAAATGCACTGAATAAAAAAAGGTGAAAAATGATGTTAAAAAATCAACAATTTTCGACTGATATAATTATAATCTGATGGAAATCTTTTTCTTTCTATATGGCTTTAACAAAGTATTTCTTTTATTAATTGCTCTTTTTTTCTTTAGTAAGGCGCGAAAGAACGTTAACATAGGATTTTTTTTCTATTTCGTATATATCTAGTCCTTTTGGTAATATATGAGTAAGTTCATTCGGCTTTTTAATAGAAAATATATGTGTGTGTTGAAGCTCGTATGACCATAATGATTCATTGAAAGCAATTGTTTGTAGTTGTTCTACTACTAGTAACCAAACATTATTAATTTTAAATATAAATATCAAATGAAAAAAAGAAGGTATTTCTTCTTCATGCACCAAATTGTTCACAAACACAGATCCTTTAATTAGCATGACATGATTACATTTCAATCGTTGATATTCGATGATTTTGGTTGTATGATCAATATATTCAACATATTTTTCTAATAGTTTACGAACATGAATTGGTAATGTATAGAATTCTCTTTCTAATAATGAATAACCTTCATTAACTATTGTATAATAATTAGAAAATGATAAAAGAAGACATTGATGCATTTGATTACGTTTTGATAATGTATAAAGAATATTTTTGAAGTTATTGGACTTAACAGCAAGTCGTTTGAACACTTGATGCTTCGACTCGAAGCGCATGCACCAATGACGAATAGCAGGACCATTCATTTCAATCTGCTTTGCATAGTCTGTGACAAAATGAACTTTAGGTATTACAAGCTGAGGAAGTAAATGAACCATTAAACATTGAAAACGAACACTTAACGATTGTAAATACGACAGCCATGATTTTCGAAATGGACAAGCAAATATCAGACTTACAATTTCACGTAAACAGATATAAATCTCTTTTGTTTCTAATCGATCAATTATATCGTAGAATATAATTGGAAATAATTTAAAAAGTAACATCCGTTGTGATGCTGTACCAACAATTTTACCCTTCTTTAAATGTTTTTTTCGTATAACTGGTGGTTTATTTGATTTATCATTAATACCATATTCAAATGATAATAACCGACTTTCAATTTCACTATAAGTAAGAATTCTTTTTGTTGAAGCTTCTTTTAACATAGCCATTAATAATTGTCCACAAACACCTAAAGAAAAAACAAAAAGTCTTTTTTTCTGTAAACTAAGTTCTTTTTTTTATACCTTCATTAAAGTCGTGCATTAGATCGTTGGGGAGGGAAATAACAGCATGAAAACCTATTAGGCTTGCTAATGGACTTGCATCAACAACACCACGTAGTACAACATTATTATTCAAATTGATTATTTGTTGAACTATATTATCATGTTGATCTCTCATTCGACAAGGATGAGAAATTTGATTCAAAGGAACAAGTTTTTGATCATAATTTACATGACAATGTCTGCAAAATTCTCCAGTATTGAAATTTTTCTGAAAACCACCTATATCATTAGAAGCTAAATGATCACCGACTAATACTGTAAATGCAAAATTCAAATAATCACCAAGAATTGGAATAAAAACGCCAGTCGTCTGTAAAGCATTAAGATCTTCAACTATTGGATCAAAAAAAATTTTTCTATTTAACTTGTTAGATAGATGATTCGAGTGACACATTGCAACAAGTCCTATGGAATTTAACATTGATTTAACTGTATCAGGTAAATCTTCTAATTGAAAATAGATCATAGTGATTTTTTGAGTGTCTTTCTTAGCACCTATTGGATTTGTCAAACTTATTTCATCAATATATAATTGGAATAATAGTGCATCAGGTTTATTTTTCAAAACGGGATGTACTTTTCCATGTAATGCGTGACGATAATTAAACATAAGATCTGTATCAGCAGCATTGCGATTGACATTTTCATTAAAATTTTTCTTTAGCATTGTTAAAACATCATATTTATTTAACATTTGCTGGATACTGGATTGAATTGGTATATAAAATGCTGTCTGATTGGCATTTTCAAGCTTTATTTCTTTAGGTGATGCATAAGAAAAATATTTTTTACAAAGTTTCACAAATCTATGTTCGTTCCTTGTAATACCTGTTATTCGTTCTATAATATTTGAAATAACTTCATTCATATCACTTAATAAGATAGAATCATCTGTAGCTGGATTAGTAACTGTATTCTGATATTTGATCGATGAATTTCTATTTTTCATTTTCAATAATTCATGAATTAGTTCTATCAAAGATTTAAACCCTGATGTAATTGTATGGATTATATTTTGTTGTAAACAATGACCTTCTCTAAGATTGAGCAAAAAATCTACGTAAAACTTTTCGAAGAAGTCGAGATTTATTTTTTTTTCTGATGATCGACTTATCTTTTCCATTAGTAATGGCCAACATATGACATCTTCATCATCTGTTTCTCTCTCTCTCTCATTTTGTTCTTCTTCTTCATCATGCGTTTGAGTATCAAAATTTGATTGTGTATCATGATTTGTCAACAATAATGTTCCATCATTATGAGTATTCATACTAGGTTGTATTCTTTGTTTATATAAATCTTCATCAACAAGGTCTTTATGCTCTCTATAAATGTGACTTTTATATCCAGCAAAAGTGGAATATACTCTTCCACATAATGGACTAAGTTCACATCGAATTTTAAAATTTGGTTGTCCATTATGAACATACTGTACGTGTCTAAATAATTCGCGAAAGACATAGTATGGCCTGTCTTGAGTGCATAGAGAGCAGTAATAATAATTATTCGAAGACATCATGATCACTTACTAGTAAAAACATCAAGAACATGCTGATTTTTATTAAAAGAAGATAACCATTGAATTACTTGAGAACAATTCCAATGTCGAGGGTCCATAATAATATTATTTAAACTTGCAATTGTTTAATAATATGTTTATGTAGCAAAATATGATTGATTTAAATAAACACTAGAAAATAAAACTAAATTAATACATGAAGACAAGAAAAAAAATACCCTTACATATTGAGTGAAAGTTAGTACAATTTCACCAGCTTATTTTTCTCAGAACGATCAAAATTCAAACAAAATGAGATTCAAGATCAATTTGTCAACGATTTATGAAAACTAAATCAAAGGCAATTTGATAAGAAAAACAAAATTTTTTGCGTAATTATATTAGAGAGAAAGACAACTTACTTGAAATACGACAGCAAACAACAGTTTTTAAACAGTTTGCGAGTTGATTATAAGGATTGTAAAACTTTTCGATAAGAAAATATTAATCAGTACGCGCAATAAGAAGACTATAGAAATCACCTTAGGTATTTATTAATGGGATATATTGAGCACAGACCGGCTATGCCATCAGCCAGTAATGCGATTGGTCTACATTCGAACACTTTATATATGATGTCAAAAAGAGGTCGCTTTTGTTAGTTATGTCAGACTATGTTGTTACCACAATCAGTATCTCGAAAGGGTTTTAATACGAACCCATAAAAGTTTTAAACGGGACCCCTAAGAGTATTGAAAGAAACCCTTCCGAATTAATGACTCTGTAAGAGTTTCATACGAAACCTTTTAAGTTCCAAAGATATAAATAGATTTATACAAAACCTTTTTAAGTTCTACAGAGAATAAAGGGCTTTATACGAAACCTGTTTAAGCTTCAACTTCTATGAAGACTGTGATACGAAACCTTTTTAAGCTCTGAAACTAATGAAGAGTTTGAAAAAAAACCTTTTTTTTGCTCGAACGTGGTCAAAATGTTTTTTACGAAACCCTTCTGAGCTCCAACTCTCTTAAAGCGTTTTATACGAAACTGATCTTGAACATCCAATAATTATTTAAGGGTTAACACAAAACCTTCTTTACGTCTAACACTCATGAAGGGCTGTATACGAAACTTTTGGGGTTCAGACGTATAAACATGGTTTCATACCCAATCTTTTCTTAGTTTTTAGAGTTTATAAAGGTTTTATACAAAACCATGCATATCACTAAACCTTTTACAGATTTCGTATAACTGCACAGTAACCTTTGGAATACGTTAAACTTCCACGAAATCCTAAAGGATTCGTCTAACACCATTTTTGTTTTCAGTGTACAAATGTTCGACAAAAATTAATTGTATTTTGTCAAAAACTGGTTGAAGCTATTGATATACGTTTTAAAGATCCACCATCAATTTTTACATTTATGAAAAGTTGTCTCGATGTATCGTCT